AGGAGGAAGAAGGATACGCGGTATCGGAGAGAGAGAAGCAGAAGGGAGGATGTAAAGATCGAAGGGAGCAGAAGGAGGGAGGCAATGAAGAAGGCACCGGAAGGAGGAGAGTAGAGCTGTGGAGAGAGAAGAGGAGGGAGGAGAAGATGGATCGGGCAAGGGGCAAGAGAAGATAGCCGTTAGCAGGAGGGAGTGAGGAGAGAGGGAGAGAACGGAGAGGAGAGAGGGAGAGAAGGGACAGATGGATGAGGAGAGAGGAGAGAAGAGAGAAGGAGGGAGAGAAGGAGAGAGGGAGAAGAAAAAGAAGAGAGGGAAAGAAGAAAGAAGAAAGAAGAAAAGAAGAAAGAAGAAAGAGGAGATGAGAGAGAGGAAGAGAGGAAGAGGGAGAGAGGAGAGAGGAGAGAGAGGAGAGAGGAGAGAGGAGAGAGAGAGAAGAGGGAGAGGAGGAGAGAGAGAGAGAGGGAGAGAGGGAGAGAGGAGAAGAGAGGGGAGAAGAGGGAGAGAGAGAGAGAGAGAGAGAGAGAGAGAGAGAGAGAGAGAGAGAGACGAGAGAGACGAGAGAGAGAGAGAGAGAGAGAGAGAGAGAGAGAGAGAGAAACAGAGACAGAGACAGAGACAGACGACAGACAGACAGACCGACAAACAGACAGACAGACAAAACAGAGACAAAGAGAGAGGCGCGAAAGACGTTGCAGCGAGGGAAAAAGGAGGGACACAAACACAAGTTATTTTCGAAGTGTCCTATAATGGCCTGAAGGTTTCGTGTATTTGTTGACTTTAATGATTTTCTGATATCTGGTTTTCGTCGCTGGAATTTACGGTTGTCAGTCATGTTTATCTGAATTATCATATTCGAAAATTGGCATTTTTCTTATCGTAAAGGTTAATTTTGTTGTGGCATTACTACTGCGTTATAACTTTTTGTGTTTGTTCACGTACGCCAAAGCAATATGTTGATATCCTTTTTATATTGAATAGTATATAAATATCTCTATTGATATATCTTTTGTTAATCATAGTACTTTTATTAACACAACGATCTTCCTTTTGAAATCATGATATTGTCATTTTCTCTCATTTCAGCTGTTCAGTATTTAATGAAATCCAACATCTAAATATCAGTTACATAAAAAAAAAAACAGTTATAGGGGAAAAGTCTACAACCAAAGACCACTGCTGCCTCGAGAAGTCATCACACCGTCACATGCGTCTCTGTCAGCAAAAACCGTTGATGACTAAGGTCGTCCCACATGAGCCAACCTAACCTAACGTAGCTTAATCATGGTCTATTGTAAATTAGTTCATATCCGTCATCACCAATATTTTCCTTGTGAAGTTGTTTTTTATCGGTTGGTATAAGTACCATGATATTTTTTTTTTTTTTTTTTTTTTTTTTTTGTAATCATAGGCCTATATGTAGACTTTTTTTTACTTATAATTGACAGTCGGACATACATGTAATCCGCTGAGTATAGACCAACGAAACTAACAAACAATAAAATCATAATACAAAGCCAGAAAAGACAAACAAACTATAAGAATGATGATAAAAAAGATAAAAGGATTCTTCTTCCGTAAATGTAGAACCCAGCTGCAGACTCATGTAAGTGTGCCCAGGTGACGGCATCTTATGATTCCGTAATGATAATAGCGGGCGGAGTCTCGTCTCGCCGCGTACACCTGTGCTAGGTGGCTAGTGCAGGCTGTAGTACCCTTTTGGTAGTGCTATAAGTCACTGCCTGGTACCTGCTGTACGCTGCGTTGTTCCTTTTTGGAATGTATGTGTACAATACCCTCATTTTGTTATCGCAACTGGGAGGGGAATGTGTTTTTTTTTTTATGTTTTCTCTTGACTGTTTTGATGCAAATGAAATCTGCTAAACTCTCTTGTTTGTCGTTCATATATACAAAGGCACGGGTGCGAACTTTAAGATGGAGTGAGAGGTTGGAGAGGGCGGGCCAGAGGGAAGCATGGGAGAGAGCTAGAGGGGAGGGAGAGGGAGTAGGTGAGAGGGATGAGGACAGAGGTGAGGAGGCTCCACGAGGGAGCAGGACCTCGCAGCGGAGAGGGGCGCGACGCGCGCGCGAAGCGGATTTATATGAGCGCGCAGGTGATAAGAGACGAGGGAGCAGGCGGATTTGAGACCGACGTGAGAGCGGGCGCGAGAACGGGAGAAGGGGAGAGAGAGGAAGGGTCGACAAGCGAGACGGGTCTCCATGAGGAGCAGTGAGGGAATTGATGGGGTAGAGGCAGAAGGGAGGAGAGAGGAGAGAGCGGAGAGAGGCAGGGGAGCGAGAGAGGCAGGAGGGGAGCAGAGAGCCGAACGAGGGGGACGAGAGAGGAAAAAGAGACGAGCAGAGGGAAAAAGAGAGAGCAGGAAAAAAGAGAGAGAGGGGTAAAAACGAAGAGGAGACGAATATAACGAAGAAGAGGGAAAAAGGATGGAGAGCAGGGAAAAAGAGGAGAGAGAGAGGATCGGTGAAAAATTGAAAAGAAGATGAGAGGAACACGGATGGAGACGCAGGGAAAAAGAGAGAGGGAAGAAAAAAGACGAGAGGAGGAGAGAGAGATGGTGAGGGAAAAAGAGACCCCGTGAGGGAAAACGTGGCATCCGCTGAGGGACGACAAGCGAGATTGGCTCGGAGGCGAGACTTGCGGAGTCAGAGTCTGTCAGCGGACTTGAGAGATCCGTGAGGATCCGAGTAGCCCCATGTGAGGAGATAGAGAGAGGAGGGAGATAGAGTGCGGAAGATGATATTGAGGGAGCGGATTAAGACATACAGAAAAACCGCACGCTGAAGGTCGAGAGTAGGGCACAGAGAAGACGAGAGGAGAGCCAGACTGCTGGCAGCCAGAGAGAGCAGGAGAGTCGCGAGGGGGAGGAATCTACGACCAGCCTAGCCCAGGATTGTATAGAATACCGAGGCGAGATGAGTGGGTCCCAGATTTAGAAGGTTATGGTCATATATGTGATCATGACGATGAGATATGAGAGATGCGCGCGCATGCACTGAAGACGAGAGAGAGGGTGAGTCGTACACCGAGGAAGGGACGACGCGAAAGTCCCCGCATGAGAGTATACGATGCGGGAGCAGGTGAGTGAGAGGAGAGGAGTAGGAGCGCCCAAGAAATGACTACGAATGAGTATCGAGAGGAGGACTCGGAAATGAGTATATGAATCCCTATAGTCAAGGAGGGACGGTACGTTACGCTTTGATTCGTTGCGCCGCGAAGTATGAGAGGCTAAGGAGAGAGAGGGACGGACATTCGTAGAACCGAGTACTCGCGAGAGAAGCAGAACGGCAGGATGAGAGAAGAGAGATCGAGAGAAGGGAAGAGAGAGAGCAGAGAGAGAGAGAGGACGAGCACGACGATGGGAGAGAGCAGACGACGAGAGAGACTGAGGACAGCCCTACGTCCCGACGCTGAGGCGGAGCAGCGAAGAGGGACCACTAGGACCCGGGACGACACGTTTTTATTTATAGAGAGACGGGAGGTAGTTAGAGGCGGATAACGTGAGAAGGGAGAGATGAAAGTGATGAGGCGAGAGAAAGGGATCACGATCGAGGGAAGGCTCTCTACGGAGGCGGAGACTTGATACATTAACCACAGAGCAGGAAGTGGAAGGAGGTGAAGAGTCAGCTAGTGGAGGCGACAAGCCGCCGGGTGAGAGCGACACGGGGGAGGAAGGAGGGGGAGAGAACATTGCTACCACATTACTCGCAGAGGCGAAGCGGGAGGGAGAGGGAGAGGGAACCGGAAGAGGGCTCCTGAGGAGAGGGGAAGTCAGCGGGATATCGAGAGACGGGAAGACGTGAGGAGCGGCTTGAGAGAGAGAGAGGGAGGGAAGACGTATTGAGATGAGAGATACGCCAAGGGAACCATGGACACGGTAAGATGAGGGCAGATACGACGAGAGAAGGAGGCGAGAGACGACGGAAGAGAGAAGAGGCGCGAGGATGGGAAAGAGAGCCGAGGCGGAGACGAGCGGTGCGAGGGCGCGACAGGAGAGAGGGAGTTGAGAGGAGAGAGGACGTACTTCGAGCAGGGCACAGATAAAGAGCGGAGGCGAGCGGCAGAGAGGAGGTGACGGGAGAGAGATCCGCAGAGAGGGACGGGGAGAGGAAGGAGCGAGGTGAGGAAGAGACGAAGGCCTAGCAAAGAGAAAGAAATAGGAAGAGGTAGGAAAGAGAAGAGGAAGGAGAAGGTGAAGTAGAGATAAGAAATAAGAAGAGAAAGAGAATGAGGAAGTAGGAAAGGGAAAGAGCGATACGATAAGGGGAGAAGAGAAGAGGAGAGAAGAAAGAGGAAGAAAGAGGGAGAAGAGAAAGGATAAAGAGAAGAAAGGAAGGAGGAGGAAAGAGAAGAAAAAGAAAGAGAGGGAAAGAGAGAGAATAGAGGATCGCCGATAGCCAGAACGCTAGAGAGAAGAGAGATAGCGCATAGAGAGAGTTATATCGCATAGGGATATAGAAAATATGATAGATCGACCTAATAGAAAATAGTCCTATGAATAAGATAAAACTAGAGAGATAGACAGAGAGCGAGTCTAGATTTAACGGGTCTCTGAATAAAAAAACCCTATTTGGCAGATAACTTAAAGTCGAGGGGTACTGACTCCTCTATGACGAGATAGATCCAGGCGTCGATGAGGTATGGGGGGTGTGGAGGTCAGGGGCATGATGAGAGAGAGGAGGAACGAAGACTAGAGAGAGAGGGAGACGGAGAGAGATATGAAGAGAGAGGATCGAGAGAGAGAGAGGAGAGAAAGAGAGAAAGAAGATCTACAGGAGAGAAGAAAAAAAAAAGAGAGGAAGGTAGACGAAGAGGGAAATAGATAGATAGATAGATAGATAGATAGGGAGTGAGAGCGAGAGAAAGAAAATGAAGAGAGGAAGGCAGACGAAGAGGGAGATAGATAGATAGATAGAGAGAGAGAGGTTTAAAGAAAAATAGAGGGAAAAACCGAGAGAATAGAGAAGGAAAAGTGGAGATAAAGAGACGGAAGAAGGATATAGATAAAGATAGAAATGAAAAAATAACAGAGGCAGAGAACGCGAGAAAAACATCTCTCAAAACAAAAAAAATCCTTTCGAAACGGCGCTCATTCATATTCCGTCCGCAGCGCCTCCGAAAACCCCGACGTGGCATCCCCTTCGAGTACTCCGACACCGCGTCCTCAGATCCTCAGTGTACATCAGGGCGTCGGAGAGGGATTACGTGTCCACGCCTCTCCGTCCCCCCTCCTCCCCCTTCCTTCTTACTATCTTGCTCTTGATCATGTCTGTGTTTTGCAGATGTGTGCTGATACAAGTGCCATTAACCGGAGGGAAAATGGAAAAGTTGTGATAAAGGAGAAGAAGAAAGAAAGATTTAAAAAAGTGTTATGATTATTTAATGCATAAACGTGACGGGGTACTTTGGTATAAATATTTTTCCCATGATATTTGTTGACCATGGTGCCCACGACATAGTGAAACAGTGCCGCAAGGATATAGACTTCTCTTTTATAAACCGGACTACCAAACAACCAGCATGAGGTAAGACTCCTTCCACACAAAATAAAGTACTAAATCAATGTAATAGTATTACGATTTTTTTTCTCTCTTGTAGGACTGTTGTGCATTTATTTTTTACGTTTTACTTAATAGATTTAGTCAAAGAGACATGGAAAACACATTTTGTTTTGTATATCTATATAGTGTTTTTTATTTCTGTTTATTTCAAGCTTGAATCTCAACGAAACTAAAGTAGTTATCCTTGAACGTGAAGGATCGTTGCTTTAAAGACCAGAAAAAATAATGAAATCATTGTCATTCATTGCTTGTAATTGCTTCCTTTGTTATTTGTAACTCTATATGCGAAGGTTCCATTAAACAGACTTTGGTATACGCACGTGTGCATGTGCACATACATACACATATATCTGCATCTAGATATCTATCTAATTTTAAATCTTTATTAGCTCTATCTATATGCCAATCGGGGTGTCTACAGGTCTGTTTATGTATATCTCTGCCTAAGTATGTATATTCGTATATGCACACACACACACACACACACACACACACACACACACACACACACACACACACACACACACACCACAACACACACACACACACAACACACACACACACACACACACACACAAACACACAATATCCATCCATCCATCTCTAAGTGTCTGTGTGTGTGTCTGTACATGGTATATTCATGTATGTATGCATGTATGTATATTTACATTTACAATAATACATGAACCACATTCCAAATCTCAACCCAATAAAAGGAATTCCCCGAAATAAAGAAACAGCGCCTAAATATCAACAAAAATTCCACATTACTATGTCTTAGCATACGACAACACCCCTCCCCCTTTCCCTCTCCCTCCCTCCCTCCTCCCTCTCCCCTCCTTGTTTCTCACTTCAACCTTTTTCTCATGTCTTGTCATGTCGTTGGTTCCTCGGGGGCGAGAATTGGCAGCCTGAGGAGGAGTTATGCGCGGAGGGGGAGGAGGGGAAGGGGAAAGGGGGGAAGGGGAGGGGGAAGGAGAAGGAAAGGTGTCATTATTATTGATTTGTTGACGATTTGATGTGATTTACGGCCGTAGGTTAGTTTGGGGATGAGAGGTAGGCCGGGTCGGTGTCACGTGGTCTGAGGGTAGGGTATAGGCCTATGGCGAATAGTAGAAAAAACGTGAAAGTATGTCATTATGGTTAATAGTGGTGATGCAAATGATAAATAACAATGATAATGATGCTGATGGTGGTGGTAATGATAATAATGATGATAATAGTAATAATAATGATAATGATAACAACAATAATAGTAATGATAATGATAACAGCGGTTATAATTATGACATAATATTAATACAGTCATAATCACCACCACCATCATCTCATTATCATTATCATCATCACCATCATCATCGCCATCATCATCACCATCACCCTCATCCTTATCATTATCATTATCAATACTATTGATGTTAATGTTTTTTGTTTTTCTCTGTAAAAATGTATCCTAAGACTAAAGTGCAGTCATCCTTCCTCTTATCTCAACCCAAGTTTTACCGGTAGTTTTGAGAGACGAACTTTATCTCCAAGAATTTTGCCATTCAGTCTCATTGTTAGGTTAGATATGATCTTAATTAAGACACGGCAAGTCACCTTCAACTTACTAAACTCACTTCTATCCCATTCAGACGCCATTTACCGTCTCAACTTGCTGTAATTAATTCGGTGTTATCTTAATAACCCTCAATTGCGTTGTCTTCACTGTTATTTAATCAACTTGTCGTTATTTGATAAACTCACTGGGACTCGATTTTATTCACACACACACACACACACACACACACACACACACCAACGCGTATATATATATACGTATATATATATATATATATATATATATATATATATATATATATATATATATATAGAGAAGAGAGAGAGAGAGAGATGAGAGAGAGAGAGAGAGAGAGAGAGAAGAGAAGAAAAGACTAAATGAGAGTAAGAGCAGCCAAAGGAGAGAGACATGTTTCCTTCTTCACTGGCCAGCAATGTCTTGCCTCATGAGATGTTTGCAGAAATTGCTAAGCGTTGGCAATTGATTAACTTTTATGATAATTTCCAATTGATGTTGCATGATGGTGTTAGTGACGTTTGGGAGTAGAATAGATATATGAAACCAAAAAAGTTACTTAGCGCTCTTCATTAGCGTCACCATCACCACTGCCACCATCCCCACCTTCATCTCCATCTGCACTTCTTTCTCCACCACCACCACCCACCAATCACCACACCACCACCATCATCATCACCACTATCACCACCATCACCATTTCCACCACCACCATCATGCTCAGTCGTTATCAAAGGGAAAGCCGGAATCATGCCACTGTTGTGCGGAATGACACCGGCCACCCACACCCACTCCCCCTCCCCTCCCCCCTGACACTTGACCGTCTTCCTGTTGGTGAGAAATCAAGGGGGAGAGGGGGGGCTGGCATGTGATTTTTTGTATTTGCTTGTTTCTTTGCTTTCTGAACGGCAAAGAACGCTTGATTTATTTCGTTCTCGTCTTCAGAGAGTAACATTAAAGTCATTCTCAGTTCTTTTGTTTCGTTGGACTGCCGGTCGTACTTCGTTAAGAGAATAAATGTCGGCAACGTATAGAAAATCTGAGCGTTTAGTGATGTGAGCGTCAACTGAACCCCAAGATGGGCGAAAATCTCGTTCACAAACACGGGAAAATGGTACAAGAGGTTATTCGCGAGGTAGCTGTTGAAGAACGATGCTTCCTTAATAATTGTAGGAAGGAAGTTATTATGATTGTGCTACTGCTCTTGATGGAGCAAGAAAGCGCTATATATTACTTTAATATTTGGCTGTCAGAAGTGAAGAGGAGAGATCCGAAGGCCATATCCCACCGCTAATGTGTTCGCTTAAAGGTATTGTTTGTTGTTTTGATAGAAGGAACTCTCTTTGTCTGTCAGTCTGTCTCTCTCTTTCTCTCTATCTTTCTGTCTTTCTGTCTCAGTCTCTGTCTCAGTCTCTGTCTCTCTCTCTCTCTCTCTCTCTGTCTCTCTCTGTCTCTCTCTCTCTCTCTCTCTCTCTCTCTCTCTCTCTCTCTCTCTCTCTCTCTCTCTCTCTCTCTCTCTCTCTCTCTCTCTCTCTCTCTCTCTCTCTCTCTCTCTCTCTCTCTCTCTCTCTCTCTCTCTCTCTCTTTTACTTTCTTACTCTCTAAATTTCCTCCCCTTGCTCCCCCTCCCTCCCTCTCTCAGAGATTGAATGAGTGATTATGAAAAATTTTAGCGAGGGCCGAGGCGTCTGTGGGGTGTCTCAGAGGAACGCCTTAACATGGGAATCTCTTGTGAGGAATGTCTGTTTCGTCCTGAATATGTAAGACCTGTCCATGTACACGGGAGGGTGAGGTAGTGTGACCGTGTATGTAAAGTAACAATGGAAAGAGGATGGAACCTGTTGGGAGAGAGAGAGAGGGAGAGGGAGAGTGATATGGGATTACCATAGATTCTGGGTTTAGTGGGTGGGTGGAATATGTGTGTGGTGAAGTAGTATACAGGCGCGAGTAAAGTAGGCTTGTGCTCAAATACGCATAGAATCACACGTACGCTCACTCTCGGTCTCACACTCACTCTCATTCACTTACTCACTCACACACTCAAGTATTCACTCATTCATTCACTCACTCACTGTTTCACTCACTCTCTCTAGCAGGCGCGCGCTCGTAGAGAGAGAGAGAGAGAGAGAGAGAGAGAGAGAGAGAGAGAGAGAGAGAGAGAGAGAGAGAGAGAGAGAGAGAGAGAGAAAGAGAGAGAGAAATACAAAAAGAAAGAGAAGGAAAGGACGTCGAGATATAGCGATGTCGTTTTGAGCATTTGGGATTTGTTTTCTTTTTTCTTTTGCTTCTCTCATTTTGCTCTTGTTTTTTTTTTGTTGCTCCTTTAATTTTTCTCTTTTTGTTTTCTTCTTTCGTAGGTATATTTTTCTCTTCTTTCCGCCATCGAGCAAGATAGACATTTGATTCTAGAGAGGGGAAACTTATCAACAAAGAATTACAGGAAAACAATAATTAGGAAGTAATTAAGAACTGACTTACCACGATTTCTTTTTCTCTTTCTCACTCTGATACGTAACGAATTCGATTGGCTTCACCGTAATGCTTTTTTGACGGTGCATAGAGGCCTATCTGTTGCTTCCGGAGTGGCATTATTAGCAAAGAGGAGATTTTTTCCTTATATTAAAGTATGTTTTTTTGTTTATTTTTTGCAATTTCATATTTTATTTTCATTTTTTAAAGATTTCATATTTTATTTTCATTTTTTTTCATTTTCATTTCATATTTATTTTCATTTTTAATTTTTAACCCTCTTCTCCATCTTCTTGTTCTCTGTATTATTATCGAGGCAGAGAAGATAGTATTTTTTTTCAATATATACAGTTTGATCTATTTCTTATTTTCCTTTTATTTTTTCCTCGTTCGTTATCTCCCTGTTCTTCCTTTCCGTCTCTTACGTTTACTGTTTTCGGTATTTATTTTCTCTTTTGTCTTGATCTGATTTTCCGCCTCTCTTTATTATCTCTTTTCTTCTTCGTTTCTCAGGTCTTACCCTTTTCTTCGTAATCGTTTGTCTTTTCTAGTATTTCTGCTATTGCTGTATTTTTATATATCATTATCAGTATCACTATTATTACAATTATCACTATCAGTGTCTTAATCATTATCACCATCACCATCATCATCATCATCATCACATCATATCATCATCACATCATCATCATCATCATCACCACCACCACCACCACCACCACACCACCACCACCACACCACCACCATCATCATCATCATAAGAAAAACAAGAAGAGAGAAAAAAAACAGGGAGAGGAAGAAGAAAAACAGGAAGAAAAGAGGGATAGATGGAAAGAAACTACAGATCAGTGGAAGGAAAGTGAAATAAGAAAGATATTTGGAGAAGGTTAGAGATAGAAGAAAAAAATGGAAAGGAACA